CAATTGCTAAACAAGGCAGTCAGTAAATGATGACTACCTCTAGATTTTTTAGAGGAAAATGGTCACTGAATTTTAGGATAGAAGAATATTTTCCCCACTCCCTACCCCATTCTTCTTTCCAAAAGGTAGAGCATCTTTTTGAGCTTTCCTGTATTTATCTTTTCTCGTCAATGTTTGTCATTTTTGATACTAAGTGCATCCTCACTACCCTCTTATCTTTCATTTGACAGGCCGCAAAGCCGGAAAAGGCTTTTATCTTTACAAGCAAGGCGTAAAGAATCGGGATCTCAACAATGGAATGAATGAAATTCTAGAGAAATTCAAAATAGTTGCCAACCCAGTGGTGTAAGTGGGAAAAGAGAAGTTTCCTAAATAGATACAGCATTTCAGAATAAGGCCTGATCGTTGGCTTTACTTAATTCCCTGCATGCATGCAAATACATAACAGCTGCCATATGGAATTAGAACGTCCATTTAGCACAGGGGTGTCAAACTCGCATTGTCACGGTGTCGTCATGTGATGTACTGTATTTTTCGGAGTATAAGATGCACTTTTTCCCCCCTAAAAGGGGCTGAAAATTTGGGTAGTCTTATACTCCGAATGTAGCTTTTTTGAAGCTTTTTTTCAGCCCTAACGCACTAGCGAGTGAAGCAATCCCCTCCGACTCTCAGCTATGCTTTAGAAGCTTCTTTTCAGACCTAATGAGACGCTAGAGAGTGAAGCTTCTGGAGCTTTGAGCTTTTCTCATTGCTTCTCTCTCCAAAGATCAGCTGTGCCTTAGAAGCTGTTTTTTATCCCCAAGCAGGGGATAAAAAAACCAGCAAACTAATGTGCTGAAGCTGACCAGACTAAGGACGCTAGCCAGATGAATACCTGGTAGGCAGATTTTTTTTCCTATTTTCCTTCCCAAAAACTAAGCTGCATCTTATATTCCCGTCCGGTTTATACTCCAAAAAATACGGTATGTTTTTTCCCCTTCACTAAATCAGATGTGGGCGTGGCCAGCGCGTGATACATCCAGCCCACGAGTTTGACAGCTCTGATTTAGCACAATTTATTTTACTGTGGCAATATTTCAGATAGCTGGAGCTTTTCCTAAAATTTGCTGTCAGAAATCTTTACACATTTTGCATGTAGAACATCTCAGAATCGACATGGGAACATCTGCATGTAAAAGCAAAGTGGAATTGTCTCTGGTGTGCACAAAAGCAGCATCATTTGAGCATACGTTCAAGCAAAAAATTACTAGCTCCAAAACAAGATGAATATTCCTTTGATATATAAATCCATATCCATGTTGGTTTTCTCCTAAGTATTGCAAATTTATATTTTCAATTGGATCCTAGTTTGCTTTCAACCTGCCCCCCTTCTGCAAAATACAAAAAATAGGCTTTTGCCATTTTTTGCCATCACTTTTGCCAAAAAATAGGCTTTTGCCATCACAATAGGCTTTTGCCATCAATAGGAAATGCCATTTTGCCATTTCCTGAAATCGTTATATTATTATTATTATTATTATTATTATTATTATTATTATTATTAGTTAATCTTTAGTGAGATTCACAGCCTTTGAGGCTGGTTTATAGCTCAGCAGCTCGAGTCCTAACCAAGGACCTAGGAACTGTTAAGGTATCGTCGGAGGATGTAAACTGTTCCAAGTAAGGTGGTTTTTTGTAGAGTCAAAATGTTCAAGTCCGGCAATTTTAGAATTTCTAAATAGCGGGGCAGCCCTTTGGGTATTGCTCCAAGGGCTCCAATTACAATCGGGACAACACACGATTTCTTTTTCCACAGTCGCTCAACTTCAATTTGTAAGTCCCGGTACTTGGTGATTTTTTCTTGCTGCTTATCTTCAATTCGTGCATCACCAGGTATTGCAATGTCATTATTTCTATGCTGCCCACTCTCCGAGGACTCTGGGCGGCTTACACCAAAGATAGTATACTAAATAGCATATTGCCCCCAACAATCTGGGTCCTCATTTTACCCACCTCGGAAGGATGGAAGGCTGAGTCAACCTTGAGCCGGTGAGATTTGATCCACTGATCAGCTGAAATAGCTGCAGTACTGCACTCTAACCACTCTAACCACTGCGCCACCTCGGCTCAATCTTCAGTTAACTGAAGATTGCTGAGAATTGTCAACCCTGCCACTGGATATTAGTCCCCACCGTTCAATGTCACTGGCTTGTGCCTCTCTGTTTCAGCTGCTGTGTTTCTAATCTAGCTGTGAGGGTGGTTAATGAATTACTGCTTCCCTTCCCAGGTCCACAGAGAAAGATATCCAAATGCGTTTGGTGACTAGGTTTGTAAATGAAGCCATTCTGACCTTACAAGAGGGCATCCTCAGCAATCCTGTGGAGGGGGACATTGGAGCTGTATTTGGACTAGGCTTTCCACCATGCCTGGGAGGTGAGTCTTGTCATTCAGCCAGGAATTAATCAACGTCTTTTATATAGCCGAAGGGTTGGAAACAATAATGGAAAAAAAATCTTACAAGCGCCTTTCGAAGTGGTAGTAATTTGGGTTGCATTTTTTTTCAGTTGGTAATTTAGAATTGGTAGTAGGATTGACTCGTTCCAGAGTATAACTCCTTCCATAAGGAAATACTTCTTGAGCGCTTGCAAATAGGCATTAAATATTCAAACTACGGAAATCTTTCTTAGCAGCAGCAATGCAATTTTAGCAACCCTACAGTGTTCTTGAGGGTTACCAGGAATTGGCAATAGTTGAACTGTAGTTCCAGTGCTTGCTCTCCAGAGATAAGTATAGGCAACCTGGTGTCCTCTGAATGTGTTGAACTGCATTTCTCACCATTTCATGCCATACATTTTGCTGTGTAAAGTTCTCTGTGGCTCCAGAGTTTGTAAGATCCAGTGGAACTTGATTGCCCACAATTACATAGTTCGCCTTCCAAATTATTTTTTATCACATACCTAGATGCATTAATGTTTGTAACCAAGGTATAATGGCAGTCGAGGCCAGCGTTATGAAATAATTTTGGCATAAAGACCACATTGTTTAGGAAGTCTTACCTTCTCCTCTTCCTCCCTCACTTCTGTGAATGTTGTGGCAGGCCCCTTCCAATATGCAGACTACTTTGGGGCCCAGCAGCTCGTGGACTGCATGAAGAAGTATGAAGATGTCTATGGGAGTCAGTTCACACCATGCCAGTTGCTGCTTGACCATGCCAAGGACTCCAGCAAGAAATTTCACAAGAGAACTGCCTGAATGGGCATCTGCTAACCAAAAATAAAAGGGGAAGACCTACAAGACATCTTCGTATCGGAGGGCTGTGGGTTTTAACTCTTTTAAGTGCCTTAGTTATTTAGGCACTATTTCTTCCTGGCCCACCCCCCATCAGGCTGAATGTCGATTTCCCCATTATCACGAGAAAGAATGGGGAGGTTTCTGCTCAAAGTATGGTACTTTTCAGGCCCATTGCAAGGAACTACTCATCGGAAAGCAGATGTAGCTTGCAGAAAATTCATAAGAATAAATTCTAGTGTATTGTTCTGTACATAATTTTGTCATTCATTCAGGGTTAGAACTGCTATTAAAGTGTTGCGTGGCTAAAATAAGGTTCAGTTGAGGCTGAAACCTCTGAAGGAATCTGTGCTGTAATAAGATTAGTTTATCAAAGATCATTTGAAGATCTCCAGAGCATTCTGGAAAGTCTACCACTGGTTATAAGTAAGTCTCCAATAAATCTGAGAATGCAGGGATTTTCAGCATGGAGTTGGGATTTTGCTAATACTAGAGTTCATGAAGTTTTACATACAATTTTTGTGCTATATCCAGGGCAAAATACAAATTATGGAAGATTTGCACAAAATATATACATGCATCAAAACAAAAACATGCTGTGTAAAAATGAGAGAACAAGTAAAATGTTTGCATGCATTAGCTCACAAAATAATACCTTTCTGTTCATCACATTCCTCTAGGACACTCAACGTATTTTCTTTTTCTTATGCATAAACACAAGGTTTAACATTCTATTTTTATTTTTTTCAGAAATGCTTTATAATGTAGAGCTATCCTTGACAATATAGTGTTGGAGGCAGTATAATTAAATTCATTGCGGAGAGCTTGTAGCTCAAGGGCATCAATAGGCAGCTGGAGTGTATTGGCAAACCATGTTGAAGACATTTAAGTTAAATGAACAAAAGTTGCCCAAGAATCTTTACTGAGACTGGAACTTCCTAACGTACACAAAAACAATCTAGGTTGGAGGTGAGGAAGCACACGATACAGCATTATTGAAGGAAGTTTTTAAAACATTGGGGGGGGGGGCTGCTAAGAGCTCCAAAAGTATCCAAATTAGGACAATCAGCATTTGCAATCCAAAAGTAATCCCATGTATGGAAATAAATACTTGTCAAAATACTGAAGCAGATGAAGGCATCTTTCTCCAGCCAGATGCTTTAAATAAAACAAATCAGCCTTCAAGGGATGGGGATCCAGCAGACTTTGGCTTATTTTGTATGTTGCCAGTGGGGAAGGGGGGAGAAGCCCATCTTTTCAGTGTCAGTTGCTGGGGAACATAAGCAGGAGTGTAGTTCTGTGTTACTTTACTTGAAAGCTTCTTTGAGGTTATCTCATTGTGTGAAGACACTTGAACGAGAGTGGCTCTTAATCTGATGTAGCATCATTGCTTTGGTTCTCACTCTTCCCATTTTTGTTGAAACTAGCTGATACTCTAGTTGCTGTTTACAACAGCAACTAGAGTCTCCAGCCCCCTCCGGTCCGCAGCCCACTACCAGGTCTTGAGCCATTCAAAATTGGGCCACAGAAATGGCCGAGTGTGTTTGCATCCCTACTTGTGCAAATAGCAGCCAAGTGCATGCACTCACCATTTGCACAAGCATGTGCTTGCCGCTCATATGGAACCATCCCCTCTCCCCTCACCCCACCCCCCTGGCCAGACCAGAAAGGTTGGGGAACTCTGCTATAACAGATATTCAGTTTCTTGCTAAACAACATATTCTAGGCACACATTTTTAAATAAATGTTTATTTGATTAATGCAGTACTAAAAGTAGAAATGAATATATTGAACTCCTCTAGGCTTAAACCATTTAGCCCCATTTTCTGCTAAAAACAATTGTGAAAGTTGTGGTCGTCTTAGGAAACAGGCAGTTGCTGCTGAAATATGGAAAACGTGACAGTAGTAGGCAGGCAATAACAGAATGAAATTGCCAGGAGAAAGGAGAAAGATTAGTAAAATGCCTAGAGATTTACAGAGTGAGTTTTAAAAAAAACCCCACCAACTGCCTATACATTATACTAAGGTGCAGTAAATAACTGCCATCCAAAAAAAACAAAATCACAGACATCTGGTTAGGAGCAAATTACATGAAACTCACTGGGTGCTAGGGAATTTCTGCATAGGCAAAACTAGGCTGCCCAAATATTCCATAATTTTAGTGCAGAAACGTGAAATTTAAGGCGCACACAGTTGTAACGGTTTTAGCCCTTTCAGCAGTGCAAAGGTGCTTCAAAAGTTCAAGTGTTTAGGAAGGTGGCCTTATGCAGCGTCAGTGTTCTGTGTAAAGAGAGCAGAATCATCAAGCTTTTGCTACCCTGCAGCCCTTTTGACTTGCAGATGGGTGGACACCACTGTCAGCATTGCACACGGATTTTGCAGAATGAGCACTTCTAGATTACTCTAAAACCTTTCTTTTAAGCCCATTCATTTTCTGCATGCAGGATGCTTTCTCCATAGGGCAACACTGAAATTAGCCTGCATGTGGAAGTAAGGCTCTAAGCAATACTGTAAAATACAAATTGACACACTGACATTTTAATCTAGACCCCAGATTAAGGATCAGGGTTTCTAGGGCAGAGATTGCCAGGTGAGTTCTATCCAAACCTCTTTCAGCTATAAAGTTGCCTACATTTCATTCGAAAGGTTTAATTATAAAACCTTATGAGGGCATTTGGGGAAAAGAAATGCAAATATACTTTCTCTACTTGTGTGTGTGTGTGTGTGTGTGTATCATAAGTCATTGCTGTTACTTTTTCTTCTATGTCAAGAGCCCCCCTCAAATTGATTGCCTCCAAACAATCATAAGGATACATATTCATTACTTGTCCCTTACTAAAACAAAACCCCTCCAAGCTAATGTTACGTGAAACAATCAGGAGATGAATAGGGATGTTATCACAGGAAAAGTAGGCAGCTTGGCTCTGGTGATTCTGAGACTTGGCCAGAAAGGGAACATGTAACCTTCTTCCCACAAATTGGCTATGCTGCTTTCCTCCTCTTCCACACTATCAATGCAAGAAATTACGTAAGGCAATAACTCTCCTTGCTAATCTTGGCACAAAGACTATCAATAGGAACTCATCATAAAGTATCATTCATGTGCAACCGTTGAGGCTTCTGTTTTGCTCTGATTTCTACTTTGCCCATTTCCATAAAAGGAAATTTGTAACTTCCTGCCAATTTCTTGTGTTGATTTGTGGTTAAAACTGACATCATCAAAATCCTGCGTTGCTCTTGGGTTCATGTCCTGCTATCATTTTTGAGATAGTGGTATCTGCTTTGGCCTCTCCCCTAGGGGGAGAGCCTGAATCTAACTCCTGCAATCCACAGAGAAACGTTTCCTCACCAGTCTAGATCTTGGGCCTCCAGCCCTTGATGAACTGCATTATTTTTTTGACTTGAAGTTTGGTAAGATGAAAATCCTCAGATAGGATCTCCTCAGTGAGTTGAACAAAGATACTACCATCGATGCGTTCCCGAGCAAAGAAGCTGACCACATCCTCAGAGAGGCCGATGAAGCGCAAGGACCTAGATACCTCCTCAAGTGACAGCGCTGATAAGTCACCAGGAGGCTGCCAGGGTGAGCCATCCCCATTCAAACGGGCAGGAGGTGCCTCAATGACCCCCTGAGCCAGATAAAGGTGGGTGATGCCACCTTCAGAACCATGAACAATGGTGGATGACAAAGGGGCTACTGACGTCCGAATGACAATATTTTCAGCCGTGTCAAAGGGTTTCGATGAGCGAGGTGGTGGTGCAGGACTACAGTGCCCCTCTGGGGAGGAAGTGCCTTCAAAGGGGTCAAAAGTGTCTATGGAAGAGGCAGCTGTCTTCTGCCAATCAAGAGATTCCAGCCAATCCGAGGAGCCTGAAGAAGCTGGACTGGAAGAGTATGCTGGATTGGAAAAGGGGTTAAGAGCACCAAAGGGAGCAAAGCGTTTCTGTGGAGGGGGAGGCTTCAGGCGAGGGCAGCTATGGTAGCTCTTGATGGCATTGGCATCAGTGCTCCCCAGCAGAGGTGTGGATCTCCCAGTGGCCACACTTGAGCCTGGATCATTACATGGCCAAGGGTCAGACCAGGAAGACATCTGTGCAGGTGGGGGCTGAGATGGCAATTGTATTTGAGGGCTGGCCAACTGCCGACTAGTGGACTCTCCAACTTTGCAGTCACTCCATGTGCAGGGATAGCAGTACAAGGAGTAGGAGTCCGGAGATGGGGAGCAGCTACCACTTCGTGGCCTTGAACTGGCAGGCAAAGAAAACAAACAGTATCAGAGCTAGCTCAAGTGAAATGGGATTTGGAGCTCTCTGATCATAAATCTGGAGCAGATTAGTGTCTTAAACCACAGTGGACAAATCCAGCAACATCTAAAGATGTGCACTCCCACCTCCAGAGTTTTGCCAATGCATGGTTCCAACTTAATTTGAAAAACCTTGTGCTCACTACTCCAAATACATCTTTGCCTGACAACAAAGAAGGCTAAGAGGCATTTCACGCACGCTGAATATGCTGTTTCCATAGATTTAAGCATATACAAATCTCTTGAAAATGAAAAATTACCATAATCCATCCAATATTGCTTGTTATTAAAAAGGCATTGCTGTCATTTTCATTCAACCTCCCCAACTTCTAACTCTGGAAGTTTCTTCCCAATCAAGTATATTGTTAGGTAAAATATAAATGGCAGGAGCCAAACAGGATACAATGCTGCCCCTTTTCATTTCTTTTTTTTTCTGAGACCCACAGAAAGTTCAAAAGTGCCACAGCCATGGGAATAAAAGGTCAACGTTTTTACAAAGGTTTTTTGAGAATCCAAACATATAGTCCAAAATAATGGGGAGGCATAGCTCCTTTTATCAAAGCCATGCTTATCTTCAATGGAAAGATACTTTATGTGCCTGGTACTGTTACATATAATTAAGCTTTCCATAATAATGTACCTTTTAGGACATTTGCTTAGGAAAAAACAGAGCCAGCAAGCAGACAAACCTGAGGGAAAAGTGTTATTTATTTTGTATAATTAACTCTCAGGATTAAAAATCTTATTTATTATTTCCTGGTAAATATAGCAATGTGTTTTCTCTTTTTTTGCGTAAAACTTTAACAGAGGGCTAAATTTTCTAGCATCAAGGTAGGAAGATTCTATGCTTCCTTTCTGACACCTGAGAATGCCTCTGTTAAAGGTCAACCAACAAGAAAAGTTCTACTCATATGGCATTTCCTTTCTTGCTGTTGTACTCAGCATGCCTGCACATCCCCTGAATCTAGCAATAGTAAGTGCACAGCTGACTCATGCAGCCAATTCAGTGATAAGAAGGAAGATCATTCAAGGCCTCTGGATACCAGCCCAGAAGTCTATACTTTAAGACTTCATTCATAATAATATTGCGTCTTACAGTACACAAAGAAAGACGATAAAGCAAATGCCTTTAAGCATATGCAGTACTTTCTTCTCCCCATTCTCATCTTCCCAACTGAGTTCCTACAAGGAAGGCTACATCTCACAACTCCCTCTATAGAAGCAATCCCAGTTCCATCACTCACATGTCATGAAGTCCAGATGAGTAGTATGAGAGGTTGGCACTGGGTGATACTGCCGCTTGGAGCTTGGGGAAGCGCACAGGCATTGGAGGGCTGGAGGTGGCCGATGTGTGGGCACCACGTGGTGGCACAGGGGGAGCAACAAGGAGACGACATTCCTCTCTCACCTATGAAAAGATTGGGGATAAGATGGTTATTTGCTGGGTTGATGGGCCAAATACAATCAAAGATATTTTCTGCAGCAGATTGATCACACATGTCCATACAGACTGAAAAAGGCATTTTCAAAGACTTCAAGCAGAGCTATACAACACTTTAGAAACTGGATGTTTTCAAGCCTGTTTTTTCCAAGATTACTTGAAAAGATAGAGATGATTCAACTTCCTGTCAATTACCCCTTACTTTTGTTTTCTTGGATTTACGTCTAATCTTAACAAAGTAGAATGGAATGAAAATTACAGGGCATAATTTAACCAAGGTATATGAAGTTACATACTTAGCTGACCAGAGTTGTTTCATAGTGAGATGGGTACCATATAAATTTAATAAATAATTAGGGGGAAAATGAAAACAAATGAGAAAACAGATTTTGGAAGATCAGAAGACTGCATTGTGGTCCTTTCATGCGCTATACTAGGTCAATGTGGCAGATAACATTGCCTGTCAAACTCATATCTGGACTGGCTTTAAGATCCAATCTGTAATGTTTAATAAATGCTACCAGAAACTATGTGTGTGTCCTACAGAGAGCTAGAAGTTTTTTTTTTTTAATAAAAGCTGTTAATATAGAAAGTGCCCATGTAGAAAGTTTACAAATAGATGTTGGTTAGAGAGGGATTGGCAAAGTGTAAACACAAGGTAACAGTTTCATTAATCCAACATGCAAAATGCTGAGAAGAAACTAGATAAGAAACTATAATGACAATCAAATCCTCAAGTGCCATTAAAACAGAATAATTGATTACTAAGAGAGATGGCAGGCTCCCTTCCACTGGCTATGTAGTTGAGGATATTTTAATTTATATCTCTACACTGAGCAAAAGATTGGGTTCAATGATCTAAATTACCTTTTGTAAGGCTTTGTTCATCCAGGGAATGGTGTGGATATTTCAAACATGGGAAGGGACGTGGAAAACACGGGGAGCACAAAGGTTTGTTAAAAGGAAAATCAGAAATTGTACATTACTGAAACACAGGAATAGGAGGTCAAGCTATAAAACTATATCTTCAATATAAAATTATGAGATGCAAAGGGCTTTCCCAAATAATGCACAATTTTACAGCGATCAGTCAGGTTTTAAATTTACACTGAGAGAACCATCAAAGAGTCTATAAATAAATAAAGGTCTATATTTGCAAGAAATGCTTGGATATTAACTTTGAAAATACTATTAGCAGATATCACTGATGGGCAGAATTTGTCAGTCCTTTAAGGAAGATATTTCACTGCAGGTAAGAAAGAACTGAGTACTCATTATTCTAAGCATGACCAAACTACAGCCAAATTCCATTTTTAAAAAAATAAATATAAACATTTGGAGATTATGTACTACTCTTAGGGCAGACCGAAGGTGGCATAGTTCTAAATTGTCTACGCCCAAAATTTCAAGCCTGGTGGCATAAGGTATTCTGTTGCGAGCAGAGGAGTGGAGGACTCTTCTTGTGAAATATCTCTAGATTCGCTCAATTGTATTAATGTCCGATATGCAGTGCGGGTTCCAGACAGATGAGCTGTATTCAAGAATTCGTCTAGCAAATGTTTTGTATGCTCTAGTTAGCAGTACAATATTACCAGAGAAGAAACTACCCAAGATTAGGTTAACAACTCTTAATGCCTTTTTGGCAATGTTTTTACAGTTGGCTCTGGCACTGAGATCATTAGAGATGAGTACTCCAAGGTCCTTGACAGAGTGAGAGAGAGATAGTGAAGAGCCAGTTATGTATGGGACTCATCTATAGTCCAACAAATACAGTACAAGCAGTGAGGTTGAACATTTATGGGTAGAGTCTTAACATATTACGATAAGAAGCCAAAGCTATACAGAAGACTTGAGAGAGACACAGGGAAGATTTGTCTGTTAGCCATCAATCTAGGATTCTATGCTGTATTGCATATCCCATGACTAAGAATCTATAGTCTTACTGTGGTAGACTCCCATGCTAAAGATAAGAAAGACAAGAGATGAAAGAGATGAAAGAAAGACCACCATAGTATTGAGTTATTCAAAGATGAACTTGGACCACAAAAAGAAAAAAGAGAGAAAGCAAAGTATTACTAATACAGAAGTTTTATTATTTATTTATTTATTTATTTATTTATTTATTTATTTATTTATTTTTAATTTGATTTATATGCCGCCCTTCTCCGGAGACTCAGGGCGGCTTACAATGTGTTAAGCAATAGCCTTCATACTTTTGTATATTTATATAAAGTCAGTTTATTGCCCCCACAATCTGGGTCCTCAATTTACCTACCTTAGAAAGGATGGAAGGCTGAGTCAACCTTGAGCCTGGTGAGATTCGAACTTACAGTAATTGCAGACAGCTGGTGTTAATCACAATGCTATCAGTCTGCTGAGCCACCAGGCCCCATTATTAACAGCAATTTATTATTTACAGTTAAATTTGTCAAATTCTTTTCTACTTGCTTATGATACTGTCCACAAACATGTATATTTCAGCTGTCTATAGCAGTATCTGTCTTTTTTTGTTTTTGTGTCCGGTTACTTTGGACAACAATTTGATATAGGCAGGTGCATCTCATCCAATGACAGAGACATTAGATAATCTAGTAGCTCAAGGGACAGTGGCTGCACCTGTACTGGGATGGTCTCAGAAAGCTGAACCACTATCAGCAAATAAATTGAGACAGGGAAGAAACAATACCCTAATCAAGCAACCATTGAGGAAGAAGCTACGTGACCATTAATTGGCAGGACAGCCAGCAAATTCCACTCTCCCTCATACTGATGTTAAAAAGTCTGGTAATGAAAGAAGAAGACAAGCTCAGTGTTCTGTATTTTCTAGGACCAGAAATGCCCTTAAAAACTAGCAACGGACAGATTGATCAGTACGTCACATTCTCTCTCTTTCCCACGCTCTCTCACATTCAAAGATCCTCACATTCTGTCACAAGGGAACAGGATATGGACAATAAGTTAAGAGTTCAATATCTTTTCCAAACACATTTCCACACAAAAATAGAGCACAATAATTCAAATTTTAGTTAACTCAATAAGCATATGAACAAAATTTCCTTATACTAAATGGAGGGCTGAACCAGATGGGCATTTTTAAGGCAAAGTTGCACATTAAAAAAACAAACAAACACTGAGTGCCAATGAACAAGGAAGTTCCATAACAAAGGCCTAATGATTTGAAAAGAAATAGCACTTTGGGAAGAATGAATTATTACCAAAGGAAAAAGCAACTGACTGGACTGTTTCATTTCTAGTAGCAACCAACCACCAACGTGTGCGTGCATACGTGTGCATGTACACACACACACACACACATATGGTAATATATATCATAAACATTCATATAAAATGAATTTTACACATTTAATAACCCATTTATGTATCCAAAATATCACTCTCTGCATACATCAATAAAATATAGCAATTCTCATGAGGAAAAAAACCGTAAGAATTAAAGTTTATAATGAACGAAAGAAAAATAAATTAAAGCCAAAGCAATACTGATGCCGAAGCAGCTTCAGTAGCTATGGAATGCTAATTAATTACTAGAGAAGACAGGGAGTTGATAAATATGAGAGGAGTCAATGAAATGAGGTGTCCCCTCCAAAATGCATTCTATATTAGAATATTTTAGAGCAGATCCTGTTTGTTATTCCTTTATTACAGAATCATCAACAGTAACCCAAATGTCTTTCAAGGAAATATGGACAGCAAAAATCCCACTGAGCTTGTCACTGCTTCTGCTTCACACACATGAGCAGCATTTAAAGACTTAGGAAATTCAGATTTCTCAGTAAATAATCAACTTGGGGGAGAGACCGAAGACCACAACCAGTGATCAATGCTATTGGCTTTCCATACCTTTATAGTCCATTTATCCTTTTGAAATCACTACCATTCCAATGGAAAGCCATTATAATATATTGAGCGTTCATCTGATTCAAAGGAAATGCCTAATACATTGCATAGGTTCCTTAGAAGCTAATTGGACCAATGCCATCTCAGGTTATTCCTTCTGCTTTCTAAAAATCTATTGAAAAATAATTACTGTGGTATAATGAAAAAATTGGGACGTGGTGGCTCAGTGGCTAAGACGCTGAGCTTGTTGATCGAAAGGTTGGCAGTTCAGCAGTTTGAATCCCTAGTGCCATGTAACGGAGTGAGCTCCCGTTACTTGTCTCAGCTTCTGCCAACCTAGCAGTTTGAAACCATGTAAAAAATAGGGACCCCCTTTGGTGGGAAGGTAACAGCGTTCCATACGCCTTTGGCATTTAGTCATGCCGGCCACATGACCACGGAGACGTCTTCTGACAGCACTGGCTTTTTGGCTTTGAAACGGGGATGAGCACCGCCCCCTAGAGTCGGGAACGACTAGCGCATATGTGCGAGGGGAACCTTTACCTTTATCTTTTTAATGAAAAAATAAAAAATGGTCAAAATTTCAACTTTTGTCCCACACTGGATTTCTGCATATTCCTGGGGAATCCTATATTCTATCCATCTGAAGTTACAGCTGTGCCTGCAGAATAGCAATTAGTCTTCAAGACTGGCTTGTTATGCAAAGTTTTTAAGGAGATGGACTGGGTTCAAGGAGACCCAGGTATAAATCCACCATCAGTCATGAAAGTTAATTGAATGACTTTGGGACAAGCACTCCCTCTCAGTTCAGCCTATGTCACAGAATGGTTTCTGTAGGGAAAATAATTAGACAAGAGAATACAGGTAGTCTTTGATGTACGACCAAAATTTATGTTGCTAAGTGAGAAATTTGTTAAGTGATTTTTACCCCATTTTATCACTTTTCTTGCCACATTTATTAACTACGGTAAATCACTATATTGGTTAAATAAGTAACACCGTTGTTAAGTGAATCTGGATTCCCATTGACATTCCTTTTCAGAAGATTGCAAAAGGTGATCACATGACACCGGGACACTGCAACCGTCATAAATGAGAGTCAGTTGTCAAGCATCTGAATATAAATCACATGACCATGGGGATGCTACAATGGTCATAAGTGTGAAAAATGGTCATAAGTCACTTTTTTCCATGCGTTGTAACTTCGAACAGTCACTAAATGAACTGTACTAGATATGCCACTGAAAAAAGCCAAGTTATAGAGCTAACAATAGCTTAGCTAATTTTACAGTTAAACTATGCAAGACAGTAAATAGTATAAGAAATACTGTTCAATAGCAATAGCACTTAGACTTATATACCATTTCACAGTGCTTTACAGACCTCTCTAAGCAGTTTACAGAGTCAGCATATTGCCCCCAACAATTTGGGTTCTCATTTTATCAACCTCGGAAGGATGAAAGGCTGAGTCAACTTTGAGCCTGGTGCAGGGGTGAAATGCTCCCGGTTCGGACTAGATCGCCTGATCCGGTAGCAATGGAGGCGAGTGCTTCAGAGAACCAGTAGCAAAAGTCCCTGCCCACCCCCCCATGCCCAGCTGAGCCGCACAATCATCAGAGGCTTTTTTTTACTTTTAAAAGCATTTTTTCTACAACCTCTTCAGTGGAAAAAATGCTTTTAAAAGTAAAAAAAAAAAAAGCCTCTGATAATTGTTTATTTATTTATTTTATTTTATTTCGAATTTATATACTGCACCTTCTCCCGAGGGACTCAGGGCGGTGTACAGCCAGATAAAAACATACAATACAAACATTAAAAACAATTAAAAAGATATATATTAATTTGGCCCCAATTTAAAAAAACAAACCAATTAAAAAATATTTTAAAAATATATTAAAATTTTTTTGTGCGGCTCAGCTGGGATTGTCAAAGGCTTTTAAAAGAAAAAAAACTCTTTTTTTCTTTTAAATGCCTCTGACGATCCAAGCTGAGTTGCCTGATCGGCAGAGGCTTTTTAAAAAACTCAGCTGGGATTGTCAGAGGCATTTAAAAGAAAAAAACCCTTTTTTTCTTTTAAATGTCTCTGACGATCCCAGCTGAGTTGCCTGATCAGCAGAGGCTTTTTAAAGCCTCAGCCGATCAGGCAACTCAGCTGGGATCGTCAGAGCCTTTTGAAAGCATTTTTTTACAACCTCTTCGATGAAGAGGTTGTAGAAAAAATGGTTTTAAAAGTAAAAAAAAAAAAATTGGCCACGCCCACCCAGTCACATTACTCCCCCCCACCAAGCCACGCCCACAGAACCGATAGTAACAAATTTTAGATTTCACCACTGGCCTGGTGAGATTCGAACTGCCAAATTGCAGGCAGCTAGATGTCAGCAGAAGTAGCCAGCAGTACTGCACTCTAACCACTGCACTACCGTGGCTCTCAATCCTGAATTTTCCACACTTCAGCTGTACTAAATTACCTCAAGGTTCTAGTTTTATGGCAGAGTGGCAAAAACATTTCCCAGTCTTTCCTTTTCATATCTGTATGCACCATTCTCTACCTTAAAATACACTTATTATTGTATGTTTTCTTTATAAAGAAAGTGCTCAATGCAATGCAGTGCAATGACAAAAACTGTTAGCAATATTCCAATTTTTTTTTTTTTAATTTGATTTATATGCCGCCCTTCTCCGGAGACTCAGGGCGGCTTACAATGCGCTAAGCAATAGCCTTCATTCTTTTGTATATTTTATACAAAGTCAGCTTATTGCCCCCACAAACTGGGTCCTCATTTCACCTACCTTAGAAAGGATGGAAGGCTGAGTCAACCTTGAGCCTTGGAGAGATTTGAACCAGCAGAAATTGCAGGCAGCTGTGTTAATAACAGGGTGCACTAAACCACTGTACTATCAAGGCTCTCCAAATGTGGGTTACATTACGGATTTTTATCAATGATTTATAGTAATATATTTTAGTTCATTTTCTAATAATCTTCAGGATGGACGGTTTATCCATCTACATCTCTACATGCAGAATTTGCCTGAATAAGCAACATTCACTTTTAAGTGTGTTTCCCTTCCCTGGATGAGAACAACTTTCTTTGACAGTTAATTCAAATTAAACACATTTCTGAGTGCCTTGCCCTGACTGCCATTTCTATTTTCCATCAAACTGTCCACTACCCGAATCTCTTACCGCTTCAGATTTGGGTGGGACCGGGGGAGGAGCATCTGTGCTAAGGTCTTCCTGCAGCAGGCCTCGATGGCAAGGTGAACCCCCGAAAGAGATAAGATCCCGCTGGCCCTTGCTGGCATTCTCCAGTCCAGGAACTGTGCTACTGGATTCAGAATAATTCTCTGGGTTTTGATTAGTCCACAATTCTTCATACGGGAGCTCTTGAGTCCGGAATGTGGGTTCCACCCAATCAGGTGTCATGTATTCACGCTCAGAATCCAAAGTATCAGAAATAAGGCTAGAGGGCTCTTGGTGAGAGGGGAGAAGCAATCGTTGGGCCCTCCCTCCTTGAGCCAAGTCCTGGCAACTGCTTTCAGAGGCAGCATACAAGCAAAGTGAGAGGCGCTGAAAGGATTGGGCCAATTCATTACGGCTGTAGCCCTGCAGACAGAGTCGTACATGGCGGGGGCTGGCACAGTCTTCTGAGAAGTCTGGCTTGGCCTCTCGCACAGCCTTAGAATATTCATTGGGATCGAAGCATTCCTGGCAGAGGGCAGCCGTTTCTCGTAACAACTTCTCCAGTTGGGGGTCTCCGCCTACACGCAACATCCCCTCCGGCAGCAGAAAACGGGGCATATCTGTGAGCAGGAGGAAGTGGAAGGGAGCCACTTCATCCTTGCGGAGAATGCAGCATAACACCACTGTCTTGGAAACAATGCTCACCAACTTGTAACAGTGGCCCTCCCGGATGGCGTGTAGATCGTAGGGGTTTCGAGGCGGCCGGCTGGGCACAATCACATTGACAGGAAGTCGCACCTTCTCGATGATACTGCGAATGGTATGCTCCCCTTCCTGCATTTGCAGCTCCAGTGGTGAGCGAGTGCTGAAGCGCCCTTTGCACTGGAAAGGCAAGCTGAGGCTTTCGTTGGTCCGATGGTTCATGCAGATCAAGCAAGGCATCTTGCCCTTCAACTGTTTGCCACTGCCACCTCCAGTGTTGCCGCCGCCGCCGCTGTTACCACTACCGCCATTCCCACCACCAGTGCCGGGGACGCCTGCTTTGCCCAACTTCCGCAGCAATGTGTTCAAACGCGACTTTTCCTTCGCAGCCTTTGCGCACAGAATCTCTGCCTGGCCCATAAGTGTTAATTCATCTCCTGCATGCAGCGTGAAATTGTACACTTCACTGTCTTCACTGAACTCGCCCGACACAACCTGGAAGAAGCCAATCGGTGAGGGAAAATGAATAGATAAGAAGAGGCTTAACAAGGAGAATTCTACAACATGGAGGGTGAGGAAAGAGGGGGCTTTTGTACCACAGAAAGAGGGGTTCTGTGATACAAAAGCTACTGCTGTGCTTTGCCATAACATGAGCCAAACGGTGGATTTCTGTGATTGTGCGTGCTGTATAGGGAAGAAAGAAGTACAGGTAGTCCTCGACTTACAACCACAATTTTGAGCCCAAAATTTATGTTGTTATGTGAAACGTTTGTTAAGTGAATTTTGCCCCATTTTACAACTTTCCTTGCCACTGTTAAGTAAACCATTGCCACTGTTATGTTAGTAACACGGTTGTTAAGTGAATCTGGCTTCCCCATTGACTTTGCTTGTCAGGCGGTCGCAAAAGGGAATCGCGTGACCTTGGGACACTGCAATGGTCATAAATATGAACTAGTTGCCAAGCATCTGAATTTTGATCTCGTGACAATGGGGATGCCGCAACGATCGTTAAGTGTGAAAAATGGTCATATAAGTCATTCTGAACGGTCACTGAACTGTTGTAAGTAGAGGACTACTTGTACCACAGGCCATCATTTGGGGCTGATGGACTTCATTCCACTCAGGGGTTTTTGAACTGTATCCATTTGATCAAAAAGGAAAAACAGAACAGGAGCCTCTTTGATACGAAAGATAAGAGAAAAGTTTAAGAGATGGACACCTGAACGGCCAACGGAGAGAGATGCCAGAATGTGTGGGTTTGGGGTGAGAGAAGTCAAATTCCAGGAAATTATCTAATTTTGGGTTACTTAAAAGACATTTGTTGGTTTCCACAAAATAGATAATTGAATTGGCTGTAAGATCAAAGCTGTCACCACTTGAAAAGGAAATACTCCTGAGTTTCTCTCTTTTACAGAATACAGAAAATCTTTTTCATTTCATTGGGCAAATGAAGTTCTAAGATGCTACTTTTATAGATTCAGTGCAATGCTCTATATATCATTTCCTAGAAGAAAATCCCACTCTGTTCAATGGGAAATATATCTCTATGTAGGATTGTAGTCCTACAGCAGTGTCGGTGAACCTTTTCGGCACCAAGTGCCAAAACTGGAGTGCCAGCACGTGTGCATGTGCACGCATGCCGGAAACCAGAAGGCTGCTCTTCTGGTTTTTGGCATGTGCATGTGCACTGGCCACCTGGTCTACTGGTTTCTGGTGTGTATGCACACGCAAAGACCAGGTAGCCGGTGCACATGCGCGTGAAGAACAGCTGGCCGGTGCACATGCGCAAGCCAGGAAGATGATCTTCTGGTGGGCACCGGCCAGGTGGTCTTCGTGCACGCATGCACGCCAGAAACCAGAAGACCAGGTGGCTGATGTGCATGTGCACGCTGGAAACCGGAAGAGCAGCTGCCCAGTGGGCACATGAGCACCGGGTGGCTGCTCTTCCAGTTTCCAGCGCTCCTGCGGACATGAAGACTAGCAGCCAGCATGCCAGAACCTGGGAAAGCAACGGGCGACAGCTCACATGCCCGGAGAGATGGCTCTGCATGCCACTTCTGGCACATGTGCCATAGGTTCGCCATCACGGTCCTAGAGGAAATGACACTTTTTGAAATGTTCTGCTTTGTGCATACTTACTGAAGTTTCCATCCTTTGCCTTTTCAGAAAACCAAGCCCTGTCTAAACTTAGAATGCATTTGATCCTATTAGTTATTATTGTTGTGGCTTTCAGCAAAGTGCATTACATTTTCTTCCCAGAGTGTGTTTAGCTTTGTGGTAGGAAAAGTGTTTCTATTTATTCCTAGAGATAATTTACAATCTTATAATTGGAGAGGCAGAGATCCAAATTGAACTAGAAACCCTGAATCAGTGAATGAATGCAAATGCTCAACTGTACTCCCTGATTTTCCAAATCTTATCTCCACCTCAGGTTTAAAATGCAATTGATGAAACTAGAGAAGACATATTAATATTTCTATTCATTCAGAGCAGATCCCTAAATTCATGATAAAAAGACCATTGTCAAAAATACAAAAGAGCCTATTGGGTCAGATTAAAAGAGAACCAGCCAGTTCAATAATCCAATCCATCTCTCTCCCAGTGGCTAACCAATTATCATTTTGGTGAAGCCCAAAAGTTAAAGCATCCTTCTGAACTTTGAGACTACTTTACAGTAGAAAGCAAGGCTATATTCTGCTTTCAACTCCTTAAATCTCAGCTATCTAATTTCTTACTTTAGCAATGGTTATTGCATAAAAAACTGATCCTTCAAAAATGTTATGCAGTCTATCAGATATGAAATTGCCAATTAAACTGCAAGTCACATTTTTGGTTAACTAGACATGATCAAATCTGAGCTTGCAAGAATTCTTTTAATTTGCTTTGCTATAGCTTAGCTCTTCATTAACCAAGCAGAAGAAAACAATTGTCAAGAAATCAGATATCAAACCTGAACAGAGGGAGGTTGACCTGAGTGGAAACAGCATTCCCACTCCATTCCCATTTATTCTTTAGACCAGGGGTCTCCAACCTTGGCAACTTTGCTGGCTGAAGAATTCTGGGAGTTGAAGTCCACAAGTCTTAAAGTTGCCAAGATTGGAGACCCCTGCTTAAGACAGTTGACATATGCTAAAGTACAACTAACCTTTACACTGAAGGTGATGGCCTCCATGACGAACACCCGGTCTGGAAAGATGCTCGCCACCTCCTCCACACTGTTGAAGTACTGCACAGGCTCCCGGACATCCCTGTCCTGATCTAGCAGCTTAAATTTCCCTGCAGGATTGGAACCCAAAACATACTAGTTTAGTTAGGAGATGGGTTTGTTGAGAGATTGTTTTCTCTGCTGAAGCCAGATAGGCAGCTGAATCAAGAGGTTGGAAGGGAATGAGAAAAGGGAGACTCTGGAAGACCTACTGCTATGCCTCCTGGGCATCACCTAACTAACCAATTAATATCTCCAATAGTGGCCAACTAGAAACAGCAGGGAAGCTTATAAACAGGGTTTAATGAACTTTTTTTTCCCCTCCAACATCTTATTATCAGAGGTATTTTTGTGCTTAATGCAGAGCCTGTTTTAATATATTATGGCTAGCAGTCACTGGGATATTTGTTCCCATACAGTTCTCCATTTTTCTTTTTTTAAAAAAACCATAAAAGCAGAAGATAAAAGAAAAATGTTGGAGTTGGACACCAAATGAAAATAAAATAATAAAATATAATATAAAATAAAATAAAATAAAATAAAATAAAATAATAAAATAATAAAATAAAATAAAATAAAATAAAATAAAATAATAAAATAAAATAAAATAAAATAAAATAAAATAAAATAAAATAAAATAGAGGAGCCTTGAGTGGCTGGCTCTGACAAAGAGTCTATTTAGCTAGCATCCTATTTCCAGGCACAGCTAACCAGATAGCTTTAGAAGCCCACAAATAAGCATCAAAATAATCAATAAATTTCTCCCACTTTGCTCTCTGTCAATTACAATATAAGAAGCAGAGTAATCCTGAACTTAGAATTTCATATAGCCACCATCACAAAGAGTAAATTATTTATTTTTCCTTCAGGAACCTAACCAATCCCCTTTTAGAGCCCTCTTTGTTCCTACCCACTACTTAGATCCTATTACTGTACATTCCATATATTAACAGTACTGTGTAAAAAAAAATGAACTTTTCTTCCTTGTCTCAAATCTATATTCTAGTATAAATAAAGAGAAGATGAGGAAAATATTGTATTGATGTATTTGTGCATTCCTAATTTTATAAACCTCTGATCATTTTCTCCCCATCATATTTGTTATGTTTCTAAGCCATCATCGTCATCGAAGGCACATTCTCCATTCAGAAAAAAGGGCCAATCTGGAAAAATATCTGTGTACCAAAAGTAAAATTATATCTAAATATACATAGAATGCATTTCTTCCTTTTCCAAGTCATAGGCTAATCACAACCTAGAATTACGAATAAAACTTTCCTATTTATATCACCCAAGAATGCACCTATCAAAGTGCATTCTTGTGAAAAATGAATATTGGCATCCAGAGTTGCGGCAATGTGAATCAAATGGGATGAAGATATGCAAGCCTTTATGGTAGCAAGAATCTGGGACTGGCTGGGAAGCACTGGCTTGTCTTCAGAACACCAAATCTTTGCTGGCTATACACATAATACTTTAATAAAGAGAATCCTTAGTCTGTTATGCCTTTTGCTGAAACTCTTCTCCTTTATCTGGGTTGCCCTCTGTAATGTCCATTTTATTATATTGTGTTGCATTCCTATTCTTTCTGAAGGAGCTCAGAGCTGCCTGTAACTGCCTTAGTTACCTTTCAGCAGCAAGAGATCCCTTGAAATGCAAATGGCATTTCTGCCCGGGATTCAGTTGCCATAGTTCGCCCAGCAACTTCTTTGTACCCAGCAAACAAGGAAGCCAAACAGATGGAGATATCAAATTGGAGTAGAAGTTAATGACAGGAGCCGCTGGTGATGATGGCAAGTGAGAAAGAGGCAGGGTGTCAGGGCTGTCCCTAACTCTGTTATCAGCCATGGGCCTCTTTCTTTTTTCTCAAGGAAAAGGCAATATGGCAACAACAATTGTGGGCTGGGATGGGGGGATCAATGCACCAGCTGGAAGAATAACAAAGGCATACAATGGATAGAGATGAGTATCCATGGCATCTCTGCCTCTTTACACTCTTGCTATCTGGGCTACAGGCATAACAATATAAACTTTTAATGAAGTTTAAATTCTGTGTGTGTATGTATGTGTGTGTGTGTGTGTGTGTGTGTGTGTGTGTACGTGTACTATTATTGGCCCAGATAGAGATGACTTCTTGATGTCTTTTATCAGAACAAATTTCTAGCAAGACAGGAGATTAGAATATTTTGCCAGAAAATTCAGTGTAGAATTAATGCTGCCAAGTTCTTATTAGTAATGGTCAATTAAAAATATATACACACATGCGGATTTCAACCACAGGGAATACATTGGTTTTTTCTAGAGCATTCTTCTGTATTATTCCAGTTATACAGAAAAAGAAAAAGCAGTCACCCATGCTAAGGCCTACTCCTGTTTTAGCTGTTTGAAAGGAAGAATTTGGAAGAGGGAAATCTGCTTTATTTATTGAACATGGTTTTTCTGATTTTCAAACTCTGATTGCATATAGTTCAAAATCACAAGCAGCACAGAGAAGTTCCCCTTTTCAAAATGCCTTCCTCAATGCATAAATAGCAAAAGACGCAGACATAGCTGTAGAAAAATGCCTGAATGGGAATTTTGTGGTAATTCTTAATTGAGTTGCGTCTCAAAACTAAATGGTTCTGAGCAATTTAGTTGTTTATGATGGAGTGAACAGACATGGAAGCATCAGTGTTTTACTAAGCCTAATTGATTAGCTCAATTCAGCAACTCTATGAAGTAAGAAACAGCATTCTTATTCGGTCTGGTGCCTTTTACTGAAGCCTCAACTTTTTCTCTGAAATCCACACCTCGATGGTTGAACCAGCATGAGTTAAGATCTCATTACTATTATGAGCTTCACTGGCATCCTGGTGCAATGAGCCCACATACCTAGTGGTATCTGCAGCAAATCACAATGATGACAAAATGATGACAAACATCATGATATCATCACACAAATGCCATCATTTTGTACTTGCATCCTAACATTTGATACCAGTATATAATTTGTAAGATCACATACCTTTCATAATTTGCTTCCCCTTGACTCCCCTGAAGACCCCCATGTACCTTTCATTAATGAGACAGTACACAATATATCACATGTTTCTCTTATAAGATACAATGATGAAAATAATGTGTGGGAAGCATTTGAAAATTTATAGAAATGCCACAAGTTATTGTCTTTATCGTGTTTTTTTTCTGAAAGGCCACAGGCTTCACACATTTATTTCACATCACTTGGAATGACAATGTTGGGAATTTATGTTCAGGTCAGGTATTGTGTCCAAACTCTTGCTTTTTACAAGAACCCAGCCTCTTTGTCTGTCCTCTCTAGATAGTGTAGTTTGCTCACGATCAAAAGACCCTCACTGTTAGGAAACGTTTCCAAATATTCAACCATAATCTGTCATCCCATAATTTAAATCCATTACTACTTGTCCAACCTTCTGAGATGATAAACAGATCTTGGCCTTTTTCTGATGGCACTGTTTTCAGACACTCAGGGAACTTAAGTCTCTAGTGTCAAGGTTCCAAGTAATAAATCCATAGCAAGCAAAACTCCGAGGCAGGCAATTTCCTCAAAGGATAGCTTTATTGGAAAAATCATATTGGCCAGGGGTGGGCTGCTGGGGGTTCGCAGGGGTTTGGCAGAACCTCTAGTTAAGATTCTGTGCAGTTCGGAGAACCCCAAATCCCATTCCTGGCTGGCTCCACCTGCCCGGCCCCTCCCAAGAATCCCCACATGGCCTGTTTTGGATGCAGGTAAGTGCAGGGAGCGCGTGGAAGCTCGGGAAGGGTGAAAAACAGGCCTACCGGAAGTTTAGGAAGGTCAGAAATGGCCCATTTCTGCCCTCCAGAGGGCCTCCGGAGCCTGGGGAGGCCGTTTTTTTTTTTTTTTTTTTAAATTTGATTTATATGCCGCCCTTCTCCGGAGACTCAGGGCGGCTTACAATGCGTTAAGCAATAGCCTTCATTCTTTTGTATATTTTATACAAAGTCAGCTTATTGCCCCCACAAACTGGGTCCTCATTTCACCTACCTTAGAAAGGATGGAAGGCTGAGTCAACCTTGAGCCTTGGAGAGATTCAAACCAGCAGAAATTGCAGGCAGCTGTGTTAATAACAGGGTGCACTAAACCCCTGTACTATCAAGGCTCTTTTTTTTTGCCCTCCCAGAGGCTCGAGAAAAACCTCTGGAGCCCAGGGAGGGCAAAAACACCCCCCCCCATTATGGTGCAGGAGACTGACTAGGCCACGCCCATCATGGTCACGCCCACCCAGCAACCGGGCAGAGAACCCCTTGCTAAAATTTTTGAAGCCCATCCCTTATATTGGCATATATCTGGTGAAAACCGACTCTAAAGGTTCCCACAGCTTTCACCTAGTTAAAAAAGAGAGTTTTTCCCAAACCCCAAACAATCAGTCACATGGTCCAATCAAAATGCTGTCTGGTTGTCTGGAGACCTCCCTCCTTCTTCCATGATCTAGGTGTGAGAATATCTTGGTTCTCAAGAGAAAGTATTTTATTTTGGCTACACAAACCCCTCTATCTCTAAACCCCTCTCCCTGTCCCTCAGCTCCAGTGTAGCAACACTGAAGCTCCTATATGGCTGCGGTCAGGTCAGCTTCAGTGTTGACATCTAGTTTAACTCTCTTACTTAATCTGAAATATTCCTATCCTTTTCCCTTTGTCCCCCAGTTTAAAATCTTTGGTTATCTGAGAATCTCAAGTTCACTCATCAGCATATAGTAAATGATTGCAGAGGACATTTTGTCAGTAAAATTTAAACGTTCTGGTTTCAAACACAATAGAATCGGGTTAAGTGAGATCAGAATGGTGTTAGACTCCAAGGATACCCAGGGTCAAATCCCAATCCAGCCATGAAGCTCACTAGGTGACCTTTAGCCATTTATCATATGCTAGCCTAAATTAAGTCACAAGCTTGCTAAGCAGATGAAGATAGAGGCAGAAATAATGTTTCCAACCCCTAAATTATCAGGAAAAGAGCACAATTTAAAAATTCAGTTTTTAGCACATTCAAAAGCCAATAAATGCTTTCAGAGGTGTTTTGCTGTTGCCAAAAGCAGACTCAGACCCCAGAGTGCTTAATCATATTAACTGAAACCTTCGTGTGATAGTTGAGCAAAATAGATCAGAGATATCCTAATTCATTTCAGTGGAGATGAAATGAGTTGATTTTCCAAGGCAGCCCAAGAAGAACTGTTTAGATATACACACTGTTGCCTAGACACAATACAATTTCTCATATGAAAAGTCTTAGTGGCGTCTCCTTTCTCCTAAATAGCACAGGCTACATACATCATGTCTCCATCACCGCAAGGAATGACATTTTTAAGCAACTCCATTTCAACAAGACTTGAATTTCTCAAGCTACTTGGCAAGCCTGCTCGATCAGATCTTTCTCATTTCTACTATTCTTAACAGCAATCAATAATTCTGGCAAGCTAATATTTTCCCTGCGTGCAGTTGTCCACTTATCAGAAGCAACGGTTTCACAATGAAGTGTGCATTTTGCTTTGCTTGCAAGCTGAAACTGGAACCATCTGCTCTGGGTTTTTTTTTTTATGAATGGGGCCAACAAAACAGGTTAACACACTTACTCTTCTTTTCCTGTCCCATCTGTCTCCCCAAGGAACAGCAATTAACTGCTCCTGTCCGCTTGCCTCTCATTATTTATTCATACTTGCACATCATTACCAAAGATGGGAGGCACTTAAGAGTCTCATTAAAGGCCAGAGATGATGTCAGTTCTGTTAATTCACGACTCCAGTCACTCCTTCCTACTGTACCATCTGTTCAGCACCTCCCAATGCTCTCACATGGTGCCAGCAACTCCCTTTCCCTCTCTGATCTTCTACATTAGGCACCAACCTCCTGCAAACCATGTCCTGTCTTCATTTAGTGTTCACCTTCACCATATTTTCTGAGCCTGCTCACTGCTACTCTCTTTCCATACCTCTAGAACTCAGACAAGATGGAGTAAGCATTAGCAAGTCCAGGACCACAGTGCCCAGGAATGTTTGCAACTAAACCTAGACTAAGAATGAGGAGTACTCGATACTAATAACATAAAGTCCAACCATTGGTTGGAACAGTTGGGAATTGTAGTTCAAGATTTGGAGGGTCATAGATTCCTTATATGCAGTACAGATTGAGAGGTTGAGCATGCTGGAAACTAGATAAAGGGGGAAAAAAACTGACACAAGGCAAACCAGGCCCACTAAAGCCTTTTTGGGGGAAAAAGAGATTTTTCCAGATGAAGCTGGGAAACTCCCTTCTCTTTCTGAATAAAAAAGGGGAGGCAACAGGATGGATTGGTACATTTTGGAGTGCTCAGTCTAATGGTGGAAACCTAGTACCATATTTTTCAGAGTATAAGACGCACCTTTTTGGGGAGGAAAATAAGAAAAAAGCTGATTGGCAGGTGGATCGGCCTTCCGGAATATCCCCCAATCAGCTGTTCCCAGAGGTGAATTTTAGCAACAGGTTCCTTGGTTGTGAGCTCTGTGCCTTTCTTTCTTTCTTTCTTTCTTTCTTTCTTTCTTTCTTTCTTTCTTTCTTTCTTTCTTTCTTTCTTTTTCTTTTTTTGCTTTTTTTTCTGCCTCTGAAACGTCTGAAACTCTGTTTCAGAAAACACTTTTTTTCCTGCCTCTGAAAGCCTCCGAAACAGAGCTTCAGAAAAAAAGCCTCTGAAGCTCTGTTTGGGGGCTTCTTTTCTGAAGCTCTGTTTCTGATGCTTTTTTCAGCCTCCAAAACCTCCATTTGAGAAGCTGGGCGGGGCTACATTTGGAGTATAAGATGCAGCCAGATTTTCACCCTCTTTTTGGGGGGGGGGAAAGGTGCGTTTTATACTCCAAAAAATACGGTATATGCAATATAGATCTCCATTCCCATTACAATTTTTATAGGAAACCCAAAATTAGCATTCACCCATATACCCACTAGATTCCAAAACAATAGCTTTTGTTGTAGCAAAATTAATATCTAGGGTTTTTTTTTTCCTTTGAGCTCACTAATTACAAGTTCTGATTCTTACTGATCTATTTCTTATGAAAAGTCTAGCCTGAGATATGGCTGATTCCACATAGCTGATCCTTCACCATTTGCTTTACAAACTGCATTTGCTTCTTTCACTCTCTGATATCAGAAAATTATTTCATCTCCTGAAGTACTGATAGAAGTACTGATAGAAGTAGACAAATGTGGAGCTTACTAAAGCATTCTGCTTCAGCCAATACACCGTGCAGCTCCTTTGCCAACAATGACTTACGCTGGGTGTAAATTTACCTAAAAGACCTCACCCCCAAACACAAACAGAAAAGAAGATCTTGTTATTTTCTAGTAGAAGGAGATCTTATGAATCTGCCTATTATCTTTCCCCATTAGAAGAAAGATTAAAAAACACTGAAGTTGTTACCTAGCTAGGTAACCAAATATCTGCAAGAAAACAATCAAGAGACCACCAAGGATTCCACAGATTAAAAACCATAACACTTGGAATGAGAACCTCATGAGATCCTATCTGATGAGACATCTATATGCAACAAAACTTTTGAGAGGAACTGGGTTGTGTAGGAAAAAAGAATCTCTTGCTTTGAACATAAACTTTGAACATTATAAGCAACTAAGCACAACTAAAAAAGTATTCCACCTTCCTTATAGATTTATCAAAATAAGATAATATTGTTTCATCATGCCATTTTGCCTTGGAAGGCAAATGATAAGCAATTCCTCTAATTTGAAGATAATATAGAGCCATTGGATTGATCAGGAGTTTTCCCGTAGTTTTTTTAAACTTTCCTGGCTGATGCTTCACTTATTCAACAGTGCAGGAATTTCTGTTAATCTATAACCTAAAGCTCTATTTCTTTTAGGCCCAGATCCATAAACAGCAGTCCAGATCTTCTCTTATCCATTTCTCCCAACTTCATTTTATAAGTTTGTGAGGCAGGGATCTATCTTTTTCACTTTATAGTTTATCACCCAGGGCAATGTGATTGATGCATCAAGGTTTCAGAAAAGGTACATCACTACTGATCAGAAGTAAAAAAAAGAAAGAAAAGAAACTAACCTAAGCAGAAACATTCAAGAAGTTAGGACAGCTATCAGAGTATCTATAGAAAAATCTATGCGTTTGCTGTCTAACCCTCTTTCACTATTTCCCTTCAAATATGTGCTTCACTGAATTCTCACCGTTCTGTTACCTGGATATTGGAGGGGGATGTCAATCTTGGGGCCAATGACATAATGTCCTTCCTCCAAGCTGTGGGCTGTCACTGTAGTCCATTGACGACAGGAGTGGATGAGAAGCACATCTTGGTCACTGACCCCCTCTACATACTCCCCTGTGACAGAAATGAGAAGAGGTGTGAGATTGCTATGCATTCACCCAAATTATTTTTTAGATGTGCACCAACCCAGCATTATTGTAATGACAACAAAGGAGAGAAGACTCTAGTCAGATTACTTCACTCAGAATTCTGGGAGCTGTCCTGGAAGCTGCTGCAAGATGAAAAATACCATCAAGAGTTCAACTAAAATGAAAGCCACCCCCACATATTCTCACATTAATGGGGTAAATTCCCAGTTGAGTACCCTAACTTTCCAAAAGTGAGGCACAGAGCCCTTCTGCATAAAAGTCCAATTATAATATGACCTATAGGCACCTGGCTATTCAAATCAGTCAACTTCTCCATCCTGCCAATATTTGCAAAGCCTTCTTCAAATCAGTACTGGCAATGTAGCAATGCAACAGAGAGTTTTAAGAGTCATCATCTGTAAACCCTGAGCAATGCACACTCCAATGTAGGCAGGATTTTTAAGTGTAAATCAATCTCTCTAAGTTCCTTCTTCCCTAACCTGATGTTTTCCAGAAATGTTGGACCTAATTGGCTGAAAATAAAGCACCAAGGTACAGTACAGAATGCTAGAGAATCAATGCATCAGATTAACATACACATGTAGGAAACATGACTTTTGCAACAGAATAGTAAATGTCCGGAACAATCTATCTGATCCTGTTGTTAGTCTCTCTAATCCCCATATATTTTACTGTAAACTGTCTACCGTGGACCTTTCATGTTTCTTAAGAGGTCCCTAAGAGGGCGCGCATAAGCGCACCAGCGGGCCTACTGTCCCTGTCCTACTGTTCCCAATTATATGTAATCATTCTATGTGTTTATGGCTATGTTTTGCCAATTTATATCCTTTTTTTTGTGCCAAAATTTTTTCGTGCATCCATGTCTGTGTCTACTTTGTTACTTGTTTTCTTATTTGTTGACAAATAAATAAATAATAATAATCATCTCATTGAACATGGCACTCTGTCTCTTGAAATGTCATCCCAGGAACTACACTGGGAATGAGAGAAAGTGGAAGTCTTTACTAAAGCTCTTCCCTCAGGCCCAGAACACCCCTGAGTTGCCAGCTCCAAGAGCGGAGCACTTCCCCCAGCCAAATGCAACAGAAGAGTGGGCCCATGCTGCCAAGAGATAGGTTGCCCCAGAAACAGCCCTTTGTGCTCAATGGCAAGAACTGCAGGCCCAAAGCCCTGCTTGGAACAATCCTTTGTACTGATGCTAAATCTAGGCCTGCAACGGAGAATTCTCTCCTCCTCCTCCTCCCCCACCCCCCCGCCATTGGGGTGCACATAGCATATGCATTTCAAATCCACAAAATAACCCAGGACAAAATGTATCTCCTATACAGCTTGTTATATATAATATCCAAATACACACGGAAGTTATATAGAAATACACAAGGATAGAAATTCATCTTCGCCATGCACGATGTATTAAAGTTATAAAACAAGACTAAGAATTTTTTTAAAAAAAAACAATACACTGTAAAAAATTACACTTCTTTATTTCAGAAAGCCATCCTTTAGATTTATTTTTTCAAAAACTCACTTTAGTCGTTTATTTGGTCAGTTGATTTTTACCATACCAAAAAATCATCTAATGCTTCACATTCATGTAAAAAAAATATGAAAATTGAATATTTTAATAAAATAAATGTACATAATGTATATTGGTTGATTTTAGATATTTTTATTACAATAGCCATTTTTGTAAATGTTTTTTTTTATTTTGCTCTTGACTTTTCCTTTATGAAATGAAGTTATAAACACAAACAATTTTCCCCTATGAATCTCTTTCAGATTTGCCTTTTTCACATCTGTCCTTCATTTTTCTCAAGGAAATATGCTCACTGTACTATAAATAATAAAGTAGAAAAGCACAAATAAGCAATCCAAAAGGGGCAGTGCTCCCACAAAATAGTGCTTTCGTTCTTTTGATAAGAGATCCTCTGCAGACACTTCTCAACCAGATTGGTTTCCATCTCCCCGAGTCTCTTCAGTGGCCCAATCAACACCTTGAATTTATGCACTTCTTCAGCTTTGACAGTTTACATAATATTTATCCCCAAAAAATGAAATAAGGATTGTATCATTAAATGGAAGCAGAATTTGAATATAGTCATTGAGACGGAACACAGGGAATTCTAATGGAAGAACATCAGATTTACTTGGCATATTATTACTTAGAGAAAATTGGCATAAGATGTTTTACTGTTGGTAAGTTACTCCACTCTTGATCACTAAAGTGAATAATTCTCTTTCCTAAAACTGTAAGAAATGCAATTATAAGGTTAGAATCCTTTTTTTTTTAATATGTGGTGGCAATGATGTAAAGTTTAACAATTCTGAGAAATGTTTCATAATAGAATGGAGCACATTTTGATGGCTGTAATTCCAATACAACCAAGATATTCTTAATAAGTTTTTCTAAATCAAAATATATTGAACCGTATATATTAATGCATAAATTCTAATTTTTTGCTGAAAAAAATATTTTAATTCATTCTTCAGAAGAATAACTAAATCACAAGAGGCTGCTAACATGTCTAAAACAACATTCTACTGAAAAGTAAATTGATGTAGAATTAAATTCTAATTAGAAACCATTCTTGCATTGCGTTGTATATGGATTTCCGCTACACCAACAATTTGGGTTTTCTTATCTACGGAATTATATTATATTATAAATTTGATCTATAACTTGTAGTACTGATTGAATGTATTGGTTATCATTTATTGTTTTGTCAGTGACTTACATTTTGTTGACCAAGTATGTTTAGCTTAAATCCAATAAGGATAGAGAAAGGATTATGTGGATCTTTTTCATTTGGGATTTGGGCTGGGGTAAAGTACTGAGAAGGCACTGATCTTGTTCATAGATAACCTCTGGGGGGCTTGGGACAGGGGTGACGAGTCCATCCTGGCCCTCTTGGCAGATTTCAATATCACCAAATATTCCACACAGCATATTGAAAAAGGAGAGGACTCTGCCAAACCTAATGTTTGGTTTCTTCAGTATTTTTAGCTAAGCTTGTTGTTTGCAAGAATAAAAAAGAAACTTCTTTCCATCTAACCCAATTTTTATTTAATCTATATATAAATTCAGCATTTTGGTTTTAGGCCAATTTATTTAGCAGCAACAATATGATTCTATCTTGTTTGTTTTATATTGGTAATCATTTTGCTGCACCAGATAAGCCCAAGAGAAGGAATAGTCAACATTGCACTAAAATAAATCATTGTTTTATCCTGTTTTAGCTTATTTTTCAGTCAGAGTTTTGCTGCTATGGTCACACATATTTTACTAAGTCTGTTGGGCTATATTCATAAAACATGCTAAACTTAGTTAGTTTTGGTTTGTTTGTGTATGTTTTGGTAACTTAGTCTAGACTAGAGTATATGAATCCAAGATATTTAAATAGTTCAATGTATTGTGCGCAGTCAAAAAATGAGTTTATTCAGTAGCCAAATTAAGTGCATTGTACAAACCCAGCAATTTATACATGGCAGGTTAAAGTGAGGTTGCTTGATTTAAAATTAATTTCATAGTCAAAGGAAGATCTCCCCAATATAATTTCCCAAGAATTTGGCCCCATCCTATCTAACTTGTGTTTTTCTTTGGTAATAAGGCTAATTTCTGATAGAGGTGGCATCTTGGTCATGGGCCAAGGAGAAGAGCAGCACACCTAGAAAAATATTATTTTTATTGCTGCTGCTGCTTTATTGCAGAATGATAGGTGAGTTTCAATAAATTGTACCTAAACATTTTTAAATGTTTCAAATACCCAATGTTCAAAACAGTAGCCCAGATAATGTGCCTAATATGTTCAGAAGAACATGAGTCTTGTGCCTAGCACTCATACATTACATTTTTTATTATGTTTTTTATTATTTTGCCACTTTCTTTCAGGATGTTGTGAACTGTTATTCCTTGCTAGCCACCTAGAGTCATTTGGCAAGAGATCAGCTACATAAATTGGTTAATTAAATAACAAACTAAATAATTTGGAGATTGCCATAGAGATCTTAAACTCTCTATTGCTGAAGGTCACATAAAAGAACCAAGTCTCTATGCAGATTTTATTCAGAAGGCTAGGAAGAAACCTAGGAAAGAAACTTAATGTTTTAAACATTTAATTTAGCTAAAAACAAATATAATAAGATATTCACTTACATACACTTTCCTATTTGAGGCTGGGGAAAGGGGTCTGTCCAAATTGCCCTTCTAATGTTACTCTTCATACAGCAACTTTGAGGGAGATGGGTGGTTCAGAAATGTGAAATATAAATAAGTAAATAAATTATTTGTGTGGCATTCATCTTCTGACTTGTTTATTCACATGGTTGTTCCCTGCCCCCTTCAAAATATCTGGGTCACATCAAGTTAAACCAGGGGTCCTCAAACTTTTTAAACAGGGGGCCAATTCATGATCCCTCAGACTGTTGGGGGGCCGGACCAGCTGGGTGGGCGTGGCTAGGTGGTCATGTGACTGGGCGGGTGTGGCCATTTGTTTATTTATATGGATTTTTATGTTTTACATCTATGGTTTTTATATAATTTTATCTCACTGTTGTATGCCACCCAGAGTCACCTTTGGTGAACCGCTCTCATCAGGATCTAAGCTAAATAATTATCAACAGTAAATAAACTCTCAATATTTTAATATAAATAAATAATAATAAAGAAATGACTTTATTGTCATTGTACGTGTATATCAGAGGTGGGTTTCAGCAGGTTCTGACCAGTACTGGAGAACCGGTAGCAGAAATTTTGAGTAGTTTGGAGAACCAGTAGTAAAAAATCTGACTGACCCCACCCCCATCTATTCTCTGCCTCCCAAGTCCCAGCTGATTGGGAGGAAATGGGGATTTTGCAGTAACCCTTCCCTGGATTGGGGTGGGAATGGAGATTTTATGGTATCCTTCCCCTGGAGTGGGGTGGGAATGGAGATTTTACAGTATCCTTCCCCTGCCATGCCCATCAAGCCAAGCTACACCCACAGAACCGGTAGTAAAAAATTTTGAAACCCACCACTGGTGTATATACAGTATATCCATACAACGAAATTCACTTAACACCCAAAGACCAGGTCCAACACACATAACAATCCCCAAACACACTCCCACCCACCACAATTCTCCATCCCTAAACCACCCAAACATCCACACAACAGACCATAGTATTTAACATTAAAGTTCCAAATTGAAATGGAAACAGCTTTGCACCACAGATATCTCAAGACCCAAATGCTCAACTGAATTCCCAGTTTTAACTGTTTCACTGAAATAATAAACATCTGAGTGCCATCTAGGGGTAGCATGTTCCAGGACAGGGTCACCATCGTATAAGTCTTCTTCCTGGTTCCCATGTCCTTAACATCTTGGACAAAACACCCAAAGCAGGCCTTCTCACACTGTTCTTATTGTCTGTTTGGAGCAGAGAGTCCTGTAGGTAATCTCAACTCAAGTATATGCAGCTCTGAAGGGCAAAATCAGTACCTGGAATTGTAGTCTAGAACATACTGGGAGACAACGAGGCACCCACAATTTGGGTATAAAATGCTAAAGCAGCTTTTACCTACCAAACTGCAAGCTGCTGCATTCTGTATCCACTTAAATATCCATATAGTCTTCAAAGGAAGCCCTGAATAATCCAGTCTAAGGTAACATGGACACAAGTTAATATCATTCTCAAGAGGCCTATATCTAAACCGCACCTTAGCCATGAAAGTCGGTCATGAGCCAGTCACTGTCTCAGCCCAACTCATCTCACAGGGCTGTTGTCGTGTGGAAAATAAGAGAAGAAAGATGTGTGTTGAATATGTTCACTGTCTTGAATTATTTATAAAAATAATAAAGGTGAGATGCAAATAAATAAACTAGGAGATCAGCTGAAGCTGAGCAAAGTGGCTCCTCTGACCACAGGATCAAATCAGCTGATCTAGTAGGAGCTGTCCAGGAGAACATGCAAGTCATAGAACTGCTCCATTAGAGGGAGCACAACCCCATCCACAGACAGTGTAGTAGCCAGCCACAAAGTGGTGGTTTCTGGATGAGCAGAACTCCATCTATCTGGAATTGAGTTTCAACCTGAGTCATCCCAATCATTTCTAATTCATATCTCCTGCCTGGTCCAAGCAGAGATATATTCAACTGGATATCAACAGCATATTCATGATAATTTACCCTAAACAGATAAATATTTCCCTATGAGTTTCATATAGAAAAGAATAGTGTTTTGTGTCACCTTAAAAACTGAGCACAAATGATAGCATAAATTTCTACCTATAATGCCCTTCTTTATCATGTGCCCAAAATAATCCCATGTTGCCTGTCTAACAATGGTACCTGCTGTCCCTAACGGGATAGCTCTCTCTCCACCTTACCTATCTACACTATGCTTCCAGCCATTGTTTTCAAATTCTACTGTTCCATCTCCATATGCTGTATTTCAGTTCCTATAATCCCTAAATAGTATATACCCAAACTTCTTGTAACAGGGGGCACATACTTTCCTTCTCCTTTTCTTTCTATATCTCTGGTCACTTAGAAACACCATCATGCATAGAAAGAGGTCTTTTGCACTCATTATGTAGGTTAATAAGGTAAAAAGAAGAGGGAAAGAGATTTGTGTTTTATATTTTACACATCCTGGTTAACTAACCATATATACCCGCCGATAAAGAACTCGTCATTATTCTGGTAAAAGATTCTGTGTCAGACATTTATTTTTCTGTAGGTTGTTTTTTTCAGGTGCTTAAGATGCTTAAAAAGGATCCTGCTCTGCAATCTCCTTCCCTCCTTTGGCCCACTTGGATTCTGGCACCAGTTTCTCCCAACAGATTTACACTAATTCTTTCTTCACATTCGACAAAGCTGGAGCTCAGAGCCAGCAATAGGCGGATGGTGGAGTGGGAGAGAGATGGAACGGAATGACAAAGCTCTCAGACAAAAGGCACCTTAGCAGGCCTTTAGATGCAAATCACACAAGGATAGGGCCTGAAAATCTGGCAGCTGGACAAGGGAAGGGAGGCTATCAGACTGAAAGGTTTTCCCTAATAAGCTTGGAGCTGAGCTATTTTACCCCTCCAGCCCCAAAATACACATAAGGAAAAAGAGGCAATACAGTAAATACATCATTCTTGGAGATTCTAAGTTAACCCCAGAGGAAGTCTTGCAAACCTTTTCCAACCAACACATTTTATTAAAAGGAATAAGCTTTCACAAGCCGCTCCTCACTTCATCAGATTGTGTTTATTTATTTGAAGCATTTATATAGCTGCCCATCCCGATAATAAACTCTGGGCAAACTCCCAAACAAAAATTACAATAAAACATAAAAACCATATTAAAACTATTTAAACTAAATGCATGAAAACAAAACCCTGGTTCCAAATGAAGCTTCCGATATACAGTCACCTCATTTATCCCAGCAATTGGGGGAAAAGCCAGATCTTCAGTATTTTTTTACTAGGAGGGTAGGAAGGTAGAGGCTGCTGCTCTTCAAGGGGAAGAGTGTTTCATAGGCCAAGAGTTGCCACAGAAAATGAATACTTCCAAAATTGCAATATTTAAAGAAAGGGACTAGGAGCATGTCCATGCTATCTAACCTGGTAGGACAGGTAGATATCCTTAGGGAAAGGGGGTCTCTCAGATAACCTGGCCCAATGCCACATAGGGCTTTAAAGGTGAGGACCAGCATCTTGAAAGAAACTGGAAACCAGTGCAGCTCATGCAACAAAAGTGTTACATGGGTAAACCTAGGGCCATGCAACACGGTGTGCCTTGCTGAGTTCTGGGTCACTTAAAGTTTCTGGGAAGTCTTTGAGGACAGCAGCACGCAGAGTGCATTGCTGTAATCCAGAGGGGAGGTGACCAAGGCATGAGTGACTGTGAGCAAGGCCTCCTGGTTCTGGAAAAGGTGCAATTAGTTCACTAGACAAATCTGTGACAAGCCTCCCCACCCCACCCCATAGCCACAGCTGCACACCAGCTCAGTCTGGGGAAGTGCCCAGACCCCATCCAGAGTCAAAGATGAAATATAATCTGGATGTAAGGGACCAAAAGCTCAGAGCCTCTCTGTCGTGCATTAGTGACTTTACTAATGTAGGATTTAAAGATATTTATGATCTATATAATCAGATCTACATAATCAACCTATCTTCCCCTCCCTTTCCTATTTGTCATCCCAATATAAATCCGACATCAGTTTAGTCTAGCCACTCTACACATCTGATGAAATAGCATGCATCTTCCTACAAAACGCATGCCTAATAATATTTGTTAATTGGAAAAGGTGATATTAGATTCCTTCTCGTGTTTTGCCACCATAAACTAGCACCTTTCTTTTCCTACAGTAAGTATCAAAACAGTACAGCAGAAGTAAGAAACCTGGTGTCCTCAAGCTGTTCTGGGATTACATCTCCGAGAATCCTTTGTCATTACTCATGCCAGGCTGGGGTTGATGAAAATTGAAGTAAAAACCAGCAAGATAATATAGGGTATCCATTAAACATACAATTCCCCAGAGCTGTTTCTCCATCACCTTTGTACATCTAACTTGAAAAAGGCCCATTAAAAAGTTGATTTGAAGCTAAATACTTCAGCTCCAGGAGTATTTAGCCATGTCACCTGAAGTTTCACGGCTGGTGATGGAAAAAAAAAATCCAGCACTGGTTATTCTTTTTTTCATACATTCTCAATGCATCAAGTCCTTACAGGGAATGCGAGGAGCTTCCTGGCTTGTATAAATCTTTACCTTTAATGGAGTTAACCAGCCTCTAGACTGGAAAAGTGGTTTACAGCATCTCTGAATAACTTATTCTGGTGGGGCGCTCCAATCACAGAGTTTGCATATTTCCTTCCGCTTCATCAAACATTTTAAGGTGGAACAACTATCTCGAAGTAGAGAAATCATTTTCCAGTCTTCTTCAAAGGACCTTTTCTGCTGGGTTCTTACAAGGCGATTATTTAGATCACTGTCTGGATTAGCACAATGCTCCCGAATCCGCACACCAAATATCAAACTAGGAAAACACAGCCCAGCCAAGATCAAAGCTAATCAAGTTCTGCATATTGGTCTTCAGTTGATCTCCTTAACCAGGTTCCGTAAATCCCAAGCTATTGGGTTTCATTAAGTATCGCCAAGCCAGTCTTCAGCTTTCACCTTACACTGCACACTCATCATAAATGGAAGAGCTTTCCTGGGATCAGGCAAAGGGCCTATCTCAGGTGGCTACAGCGGTTAACCCAATGCACTTGGTTGTATTCCCCAAGCGACAGCAGCAAAACCTCCAGGAACAGACCAGCCAGCTTTCCATTTCCTCTTGGTATTTGGGAAGGGGGGTGGGGGGTGTTGACAACTCAGGGCCGCTTCCTTAGGCTTTTCAAGACAACCGAGGAGTTTGAAATGGGGTAATTCAGGCAACCGAGTCATGCGGGGAGGGGGCTATTGTATATGTAGCCCTGCCCTCCCCCTCAATCCATTCACAAGAAAAATGGGGGGGGGAAACTAGGGCGGAAGCAGGCTTCCCTTCTCATTAGTATTCAAAACGTCGTTCAAAGCCAAACTCCCTATTCTTCTCACGCTGTACAAAACCCGAAGCCGGGCAGCTTGCCACCCCCTCCCCTTCCCTCCCTACCCGCCCCCCCACCCCCCGAGGGATCTGCAAGCAATCCCTCCCCGCAATCGGAGGGGGAACAAAAGTGGGGCAAGGGAAAGAGAAATGAACGGAACGGGTAAAATTGCCATAAAACCTTCCCTCAGGTCCTGCAGCGCATTTTTTTGCATCTGTACCGGAGACCACCTATGAACCCTACGGGAAGGGAGGGGGGAAGAACCGGCCGCTATTAAAAAAAAAAAAACCCCACAAAAAAGTCCAACCAGAAGTAAATGAACAGAGGTTTCCAGGTACTAGGCTTCCTTTCTCTCCCCGCGCGCCGTCCCAGCGCACCAGATCTGCACACGCCAAATTTTCGGTGCAAAGGCCGCTTCACCTGTAAGAGGAATCCCAGACAGGAATGCCGGGACTCCCCTTTCGGGAGGCAGGGAGGGAGGAACCCGGATTGCGCTCGCAACGCCTGGACGAGACAAGAAGAGGCGTGATGCCGGGGGAGATTCGCCGCAAGCCCCCGCGGGCGCTTGGTCTGCACCAGCCCCGCCGTCGATCTGCTTGTACGCGGCAGCGGTACAAGAGCCGTCCATTAATGTCTGTGGGGGCTTCCGCCAGGGAGAATCAGCCATGGGATCGCGCGCTGCCATCTGGCTCAGCAAGAAGAAAGAATCGAACGCGAGTCGGCGAAGTTTTTTGTTCGGCGTCCCTCCTCCGCCCCCGCTTTCGCTCAGCCACTTGCTTCCCCGCTTCCCTCCCGGTTTTTTTTTACCGACAGCGCCTCACACCCTCCGCCTTGCCGACAAAGGCAAATAACCCGCGGAGGCCCGGAAATCTCCCTCCAGCCGCGACAACCATCCCCAACCGAAAGAAGAAGCCAGGCGGCGGCCCCCTTCGCCTGCCCACCCGCACCGCGAGCGAGAGACCCACCCGGGCCGGGGCGCACGAGGGCGGGCAAGCGGCATTTGGCCACGATAAGGTCGAGCGGCAGCGGCGGGCCGGAGCTCCACGCCAGGCGGCCCAGAGCTGCCGCCAAACGCTCCATGCTGGCCGTCCGCCCCGTCGCCGCCGCAGGAGCATCGCCCTCCACCTCCTCGCTCGCGCCGCTCAGAAGCAGCCGCAGCCGCAACAAGCGAAGCCCGGGCGCTGCTCCTCCTCCTCCTCCTCTTCCGACGACCGCTGCGACACGCCGGGCAAGAGCAGCGCCGCCCGCCCCGTCTAGCAGGGCCTGCTTTTCCCGGCCGGGCACGGAACCTCGGCCAGCGGGGGACCAGGTGGCGCTCGCTCAGGCGGCTACATACCTCTCTCGGCTTGCCGGCTCGCTCGCTCGGCTGGAGGCCGGCCAGACCCGCCCACTGGAGGGCCCGCCGTGGACGCGCTCGCACCCCCCTTGCGGGCGCCCCTTAAGCGGCCGAGCCTCCCTTCTTTCTCTCCTCGACGCTTCTCTGGTTTCTCCGCGGCAGCAGCCTCGCTTCTGCCTCGGAGCGGGACTCACGAGGGCTCCCAGAGGCAACCCGGCCGGAATAAATCGACCCATCCCCTCGGCAGTGATGGAGAAGGCTTCCCTCGCGCCAGCAAGTCTCTTAAGGGCAGCCTATTTCGGAGTAGGCCTAACTGAATTGTGTGGGGGCTTCCTGGAGGACTATACTGGGCTGGCAGCCATCTGCAAGATGTCCTCTGCACACACAGACAGGCTGGAGGTTGCCCCAAGCCTGTTATTTACTGCCATCTGACATGGATCTGTTTCTTTTTCCAAAAACGGTCTGACGTTTCCCTTACCTTGACTGGAGTCAAGTCAACCCATTGACCGGTTCCTCAGGTTACTAGCTTTTAGGGCAGTGTTTCTCAACCTTGGTAGCTTGAAGATGGGTGGACTTCAACTCCCAGAATCCCCCAGCCAGCGCTGCTGGCTGGGGGATTCTGGGAGTTGAAATCCACCCATCTTCAAGCTTCCAAGGTTGAGAAACACTGTTCTAGAGGGCTTCCAGCTTCTCCAGGAAAGCAGTGCCAACCTTTCCTCGCCGCAGAAATAAAGAAGAAAGGGTGAGAAAACGGAGAAAAGCTACAGGTGGAAAGGACCTTCATCAGGACATCTGGTGACATTCTGTAGCCAGCCTCTCCGTGTTAACAAATTTTAGGGCAGGACAATTACTTGCAGAAACAGCAGGTTGCCCTGTACAGTCTCTGCCTCACAGGGGAATCCGAAGGTCATAGTAAAAAAAAAAAAAAAGTTAAGATGGTGGCCATGTGATTGAAGCCCCGCCTGCTTTTTATAAGGGTTGTACTATTATGGCCAACATCTTGACTTTTTTTGACCACACTGTCCAAATAAATCTGCTTGTCTAGTATTTTGTGGTATACAAAACAGTGGGATGCTAAAACATGGCCTGGGAGAAGATAAAGCCAACATCATGTAGACCAGTGGTTCTCAACCTTCAGTTCCTCATGTTGTGGTGACCCCCAACCAGGGGTGGGTTCTAAATTTCTTTACTACTGGTTCTGTGGGTGTGGCTTATTTTGTGTGTGTGGCTTGGAGGTCATGTGACTGGGTAGGCGTGGCTATGTGTATAGACAGAGAGTCAATATGAGGTTGCCAGCCCAATCTGGTATCTCTAGAAAGGATGAATGATATGTGGAGGCTCTGTGATCAAGGATTTCACAAAAGCAAGCTGAAGATATGATATATGCTGATCATATTATGTGCTTTTTTTTTTGGTAATAGTCAATATTCTTGACCAGAATGTATAGGTATAATGCAACTATTTGCTAAGTAATTAATTCAATTAATTTGAGATTCAATTAGAATGTTCAATATATTTTCAGTAGGATGTAAAATGAATTCTATAAAAAATTGCATTTTGTGGTGTTTTCAAAAATTGTAAATGTTATGGAATTTGCAGTAGAATATTTCTATTCATATAAAATTTTAATTACAGAAATATAAATATTTTAAAATATTTCAGATTACAATCAGATTAAAAATTCTCAGACCTTAATGAAGAATAAATGTTTTAAAACAAATTCAAGATTGATATATACATGCATATTTATTTATTTATTTATTTATTTATTTATTTATTTATTTATTTATAAGAGCCTGGTGGAGCAGTGGACTAAGTGCTGTTAAAGTAGCACTTAGTTGCCAGCTGCCTGCAATTACTGCAAGTTCAAATCTCACCAGGCTCAAGGTTGACTCAGCCTTCCATCCTTTCGAGGTAGGTAAAATGAGGACCCGGATTGTGGGGGCAATAAGTTGACTTTGTATTAAAAAAAAGAACACCGCTTAGGGGGGGGCAAAAGCCCTACTAAGCAGGTATATACAAAAGTATGAAGGCTATTGCTTAATGCATTGTAAGCCGCCTTGAGTCTCCGGAGAAGGGCGGCATATAAATCGAACTAATAAAAGAGCCTTGATAGTACAGTGGTTTAGTGCACCCTGTTATTAACACAGCTGCCTGCAATTTCTGCTGGTTCGAATCTCTCCAAGGCTCAAGGTTGACTCAGCCTTCCATCCTTTCTAAGGTAGGTGAAATGAGGACCCAGTTTGTGGGGGCAATAAGCTGACTTTGTATAAAATATACAAAAGAATGAAGGCTATTGCTTAACGCATTGTAAGCCGCCCTGAGTCTCCGGAGAAGGGCGGCATATAAATCAAATTAAAAATAAATAAATAAATAAATAAATAAATAAATAAATAAATAAATATAATTTAGAGGCTGCTCAACTCTAAACAACTGTAGATGGCTTATACTTTAAAAACAATAAATAATAAAAATTTAAAAAAAACATCATAGAAATCCAGAAGCAAGAAAAGACGGAAGCAAATTTTAAAGTCACCTTCCAAGATCACATTGTTCAGTCAAGGGGATCTGGAACACACCCACTTTTCTTAAGTTTTCTTAAGGTAGTTCGTTCTTCAAACAACCAGGCATTGTGCTATGAAAGGATTTATAGATGATAACCAGCGCCTCAAATAATACCCGGGTTATAACTTAAGCATAGAATCATAGGGCTGGAAGCGACCATAGGTCTTCTAGTCTAACTTCCTAGGGCAGGAGCCTTATACTATCCTGGACAAATGGTAATCTTTTCTTTAAAACTTCCAGTGAGGGAGCATCCACAACTCCAGGAGACAAGCAGTTCCATTAATCATTCTCACTGGCAAGAAATTCCTCATTTCCAGCTCATCTCCCACTGATGAGCTTCCGCCCATTGCATCTTGACTTCTCTTCTCATCTTGTCATGTGCTGTCCATCTCATCTTGAGGTGACTTGTTACTCTTCTTCAGGTGCTATGGAGAATAAATCAATGGCATCTTCCCTTTGACAGTCCTTCAAATATTGGAAGACTGCTTTCATGTTTTGTAGAGTACTGCTTATCATATGAGCATACCATGGCATGTCCATCAGTGGTCATATTGCATTGTAGACCAGTTGTAGCTTCAAAGTGATCTTCAAAGATAACCCTGTGTATAGTGCAATGCAATAGTCTAGTCATGTGATTACTAGGCATGGGTGGCCATCTGAAGTCCCTCTCAATTTAGAAACAGAGACAACTGGCACTTCAGATGATACACTGCAAAGGTCCTTTTGACTACTTCAATGACCTTTTCTCTGAGCCAGAGCTGTGAGCCCATTGTGCACCAATCCTGCATGGGGAAGGGCACCGCCATGCTAAAGACAAATATTCCTCAGTTAGTGGGCCCGAATATTCACAGGAAGATTTTGTCAAGATTGAATCTGAGCCTGTTCTTCCCAGAGCCACCCAGCCTTGACATTGTATCTAAGGATTCAGCTGAATTGTCCATCAGAATGTTCAGCTAAATCAGGAAAAATTCCAAGTTTTTCCTGGAAAAATGCAACCGCTGGTGTGTTGGGTATTTAATAAT